TACTAATTTGCTTGCAACACGCGTTGTGATTGGTTGTTTATTTCAATGAAGGGTTCTTTAACCAATGAAAATACAGGTAACATCGAAGACATTTAAACATGGCATGTATACACTTGTGGAAGGAAAACCAAATCACAAGTAGTTGTTTTGTCAACAACGTCCCCTACTTTCAAAAATGTGAAGTATTCCCACACTTGTGATTTGGTGATAACTCTAGTCAATAACTAAATTTATTTTATTTTATTTTAAACAAGAAGTTTATTATTTTGTTATTTTTTGTTACATTTAACAACTTGTTCTGTTGAATAAAATGGATAGAAATTTGTGTCAGCAAAATAGTACTTTTCACAATGTCCTTAATCCTTATTATCCTTTGATATATATAAAGATGTTTTATTTAAGTTCTCAAAATGAAAACCGAACCGAAAAAACCGAAAACCGAGAATTTATTTTCTGAACCGAACCGAAGCGAAAAATGTCTGAACCGTGGCAGCCCTAGTGTAATAATGTTATGATGAGTAGACTCCTCAAGCTTTTATTGATCTAATGTCTAAAGTATTAGGAAATGTTGAACAGGTCAATACTGACAAAAATACTTTCCTTTTTTTTAAAATCCTCTAATAATATTGAAGCCAGAGAGGTGATATTTTCTGGAAAGATAATCTTGTTTCCTTCTTACTTGGTTTTCTGTAAGCTTTGTTGTCGATGATGTAAATGTCCCAGTGTTGATGTAGACCTATACAGGATCTCACGATGTCAGGTCTAGCGTAATCTCCGTATCTCCAGGGCCACGTCACGTGATCTACACCGTTACGTGTTTGATTCCTGCTGTATACAGATTCCCCTTCCTTTTTTAGATCGTTTAGAAATTCTTCTCGTTTATCTTTGCTGCTCATTAAATTATTTACTGGAATGTTCACTGTAGAAAAAAAATACTGTAAATGTATAATTACATGTATATTTGACGTATACGATATTTAGCGGAAAGTGATTTTAAACAAGTTAGCGTAGATTTGATTTAGCGCATTTCATTATGTTCTTATTCATGTATCAATATTCAAGACATTAAGCGATGGATTATAGGCCTAATTAGCGGAACTATTTTTCTCTAAAAGCGCTGAAAAGAATACACCGCCCAATATAATACTTTTACACTGTTGTCTTTAGAACCCTTTCTACACTGCACACTAAAAGTTCTGGGTCTCGTAACATAAAGCATGCTAAGTTTTTGACTTAAACTGAATTAATTACACACACAAATTGTGTAATATCTTTTAAAGATTTCCATCTTTTAGAATATAGATATAGGGGCAGATCACTCCAACTGTAGAAACATACCTTAGAATCAGGGGGCCGTATTACCTACTGCGACATTGGACCTCGGTTTATACGGTTTCTTCCAATGGACCTGTCCACGCCCCACGGTGGGATTCGAACCCGTGCCGTAACTTTCTTGTACATATATTTAGAATTATTTAATGTTAACTCAGTTTGTGTGTGTAATTAATTCAAGTATTCTTAACATTTTAAAAGGCCAAGATAAATTAACTGAACGTGTTATTTACATGTTTTCTCTATATTCATATTATGCATTAAAGAAAATTATTATCAGTATTCTCTATTTGACGCTGATTTAGAATTTTATTTTTTCGTTGGGAAGGGGGGGGGGGGTGATCACTGATTCTAATTTCGGTAGAATAAAATATGAACGCGACAAGTACGGGTTTAAACAGGGCTTACTACATTTAAAAGGCCAAGATAAATTAACTGAACGTGTTATTTACATGTTTTCTTTTCTATATTGAAATAATTAACAGTGATTTCTTTTCACTGATACTGTAATGTCTTTGAACATTTTTCCCGGGATAAATGCTACGCACCACGTAGTGAAAATTAGATAAATAAGCTTATCATTAACTCCTTTATACATGTTATACGATATATTTTTCTCAATGTCCAAAATAAAATTTGCGCTAGTGTAGAGAGGGTCCTTAAAACATTTACAGTTAAACGCCCTGTATTCTCTTTAGAGAAGTGGACAGGCTATCGCCTACATCTAAAGAGAATAAAACGCCTTGATGCTAATTTGAAATTCAATTTCAGTTATTAAAGCTGTGAGTTAAAAGCTTTTTTAATTAACTTTATTCTTCAGGATCCGGTTGTATCAACATTTAATGAATGAATAGAGCATCATTAAACCTGCATTGTGGGATATTCCCCTAATGTTAATAAATCTTTAATGAATTCTTAAATATTTAATGATTCATTAAGTAATAAGACTCTAATAAAGGTTTTGTACAACACACTTTAATGACTTTATTAACTAATGTATCATTAAGAATTTAATGAATCATTAGACTTAATAATTCATTAAATTTAATGAACCGTTGATACAACCGGGTCCAGATTTTCTGAATTTACCTTCATTAAAGTTCTTGATGAAGGAAAATACGAATAAATACCTAGAACTATACGGAAACCTGTAGTATATGTTTCTAATTATAACTTCGCTCCAGAATATGATACATGTACAATCATTCAAAAATTCTGAAAAGGGATATGAATAAATCACATTTTTCCACTGACTTACATATCTTGTTTATCTTATCATATATACTCGTGTCCTCCATGGTGACGTGAGTCAGTATGTTCATCTGTAGACGGCGTATCAGTAAGTGGTCACAGATAGTCCAGTCACCACGGACACACTTCTCTCCAGGTTCTCTGTTGTATCTCTTTGATCTCAGGTACACACTGGCTGTGTCATAACTACTGTAACAGAATTGTATATAACTCGTTATTGATGCTATCCTATACATTGTCTCATCCTTTGTGTCCTTCGTTATCTTGTCCTGATCTTCCCAAAGGAAATCACGTGACTTCAGTCTGTCCAGAGTCTGCTGTGCTCCCTCACGTGTCACAGGATTCTCTTTACCGTACACCGTCTGTTTACGGTACACTAACCCTCGTATCACATTAAGCATGTCCAGCCACTCTGTGTCAGTGAAGTCAGGAGGACCAGAGTCAGAACACAGAAAACAGAATAACACTGACACCTCGTCATTAGTCAGTGTGTAGAACTGATCTAGAAAAATAAAATGAAATATCATGAGTAACTATCCACAAGAAAAAGTCAGTATTTACAACATTAAATTCATGGATTATACCGGTATTCTTGCCCTGTAGTTGTATATAAAAACTTGTAATGTTCCTCTATTTAGAGTTGCCTTTTGTTTATTAGCTCACCTGAGCCGAAGGCTCAAGTGAGCTTTTCTGATCACATTTTGTCCTTCGTCCGTCTGTCTGTCTGTCCGTCCGTCTGTCCGTCCGTCCGTCTGTAAACTTTTCACATTTTCGACTTCTTCTCCAGAACCACTGGGCCAATTTTGACCAAACTTGGTACAAAGCATCCTTGGGTGAAGGGAAATTTAAATTGTTAAAATGAAGGGACATATCTCCTCGCAAGGGGAGATAATCAAGAAAAGACAAAAATAGGGTTGGGTCATTAAAAAATCTTCTTCTCAAGAACCGCTGAAGCTGAAACTTATGTGAAAGCATCCTGGGGTAGTGTAGATTCTAAATTGTTCAAATCATGACCCCCAGGGGTAAGGCGGGGCCACAATGGGGAATCAATGTTTTACATAGAAATATATAGGAAAAATCTATGAAAATCTTCTTCTCAATAACCACCGGACCAGAAAAGCTGAAACTTATGTGGAAGCATCCTGGGGTAGTGTAGATTCTCAATTATACAAATCATGACCTCCGGGGGTAGGGTGGGGCCACAATGGGGAATCAATGTTTTACATAGAAATATATAGGAAAAATCTTTGAAAATCTTCTCAAGAACTACTGGGTCAGAAAAGCTGAACCTTATGTGGAAGCATTTTAGGGTAGTGTAGATTCTAAATTGTTCAAACCATGACCCCCAGGGGTAGGGCGGGCCCACAATGGGGAATCAAAGTTTTTCATTGAAATATATAGGAAAAATCTTTGAAAATCTTCTTCTCAAGAACCACTGAGTCAGAGAAGCTGAAACTTATTTGGAAGCATCCTGGGGTAGTGTTGATTCTAAATTGTTTAAATCATGACGCCTGGGGGTTGGGCGGGGCCACAATGGAGAATCATTGTTTTACATAGAAATATATAGAAAAAATCTGAAAATCAAAGCTGAAACTTATTTTGAAGCATACTGGGGTAGTGTAGATTTCATATTGTTTAAATTATGATAAGTGGGAAGGGTGGGGTCACAATATGTATTACAAGGGGGAAATCTGGTAAAGAACAGAATGGCCAATGCTTCTCAGGTGAGTGATGTGGCCCATGGGCCTCTTGTTTTTTAATTGTCAGATTTAAACGTAAACATCTAACTATGATCGTCAAAAATGAATAAAAATAATCATTAAAATATCTCCGATTTCACAACTACATGTATGTATCATAGAAACTTGGGGCTGCTAACCCTTCCATTTGTTTCTAATTCTGGAGTGCATAAAACTTTGTCCTATTTTTGCGTTCCTTTATGCACTACCTAGCTAATATCGATAAAGTAACCCTGTATCAATAAGCTTTTTAAAACTATTTAAGACATGTAATATCCTATGTATCAGTCGAAAAAGATATTATGAAAATCAGTTACGATATTAGTGCATGTTATACATAAGGCCACACCAATTCAATATCTTGGTCGCCGGACCCGCGCGCACGCAATTTATAACTTTCCAAAAAATAATATTAAAAAAATTTCCAGCATCCGGAATATTTTGTTCCGTTTTCCGCATCATTTTCGACTCTTACTTTTATTTTTTTTTTCATTGCAAGTCACGGTAAAGTTTTAAATCAAGGCTTTCAAAAACGTACGTGTCTATTCCTGAATTACATGTACACTGATCGTATCAAAAATCTATGGCGCCGGATTGTCAGTATTTGAAGTAAAGAGTCTAGCATAGAAAGGCCTGAATGCCTGCCTGTGCTCGTGGTAAAAATTTGTGATCAAGAAGGAGGAGTTATAATGAAAAACACTGGGCGAACGTTCGTCGAACTGTTTGAAAAATGTGTTTACTGTTTATTCGAAAGACAGTGATTCGATCATTGAAATACGTTTAACAGGTTGGGCACAGTTCCTTTTTCGGGGAAGTATTACTATAAAAGGGAACTATTACCCTTTTCAGTAATAAAAACATTACTGAATTCGGGAACTTTCACTCGTTTAGCCTCTATTCTCGTGTTTGTTTTGAATAAAAGATAAAGTGCAAGAATATTTTCACATCTTCTAAATATTTATTATGTATTATGTGTATGTGTGCTCAAAACTGCGGTATTTATTGCTGCAAATAGCTGAAAAAGAGTTGTGAAATATTTCTATTATAAAGATCTCTTATGGAAGCTAACCTGTGTTAAAATTGTGATAATGGGTACGTTCAGCACTTGCTAACTTGTTCATGAGATTATTCGTTCTAATTTAATTTTATACTATTTCTTTAAATGAACATCGTAAAAATAATTTTAAATACCACTACTTCTTTTACAGATGAAAATAATTATTTGAAATATTAAATTTCAAATGAAATTCTTTTAAAATGGTTTTAGAACTAATGTCCTTATTAGATTCCATACTTTAAGTACCATTTATCAACAGTGAAAATGATTAAATCTCATCATACTCTTGTCTGCAGTACTGAAGGACCGAACTTTTTGTTCAGTGAGTTTTGTTTGACAAAGATTAAACACATCACATCGTATCTTTTATGCACTTTTTATTTGATAAATGGAATAGAGCCATTATTTAAAAAATGTGACAAAAATTCCCTAATTCAGTAATGTTTTTATTACTGAAAAGAGTAATAGTTCCCTTTTATAGTAATACTTCCCCGAAAAAGGAACTGTGCTCAACCTGTTTAATACGTGAAAACCAACAAGCCCAATTCATTCTTGCAGTCAATGCTGATATCGAAGTTTCTGAAAAATATATATCTACTACACTTTCATGTAAGTTTGTGCAATTAATCACAACTAAAAAACTAACACTGACTTTGTATCTTTGTTTAAAGCATCTTACAGGTTGAGCACAGTTCCTTTTTAGGGGAAGTATTACTATAAAAGGGAACTATTACTCTTTTCAGTAATAAAAACATTACTGAATAAGGGAATTTTTGTCACATTTTTTCAATAATGGCTCTAATCCATTTATCAAATAAAAATTGCATAAAAGATACGATGTGATGTGTTTAATCTTTGTCAAACAAACCTCACTGAACAAAAAGTTCGGTCCTTCAGTACTGCAGACAAGAGTATGATGAGATTTAATCATTTTCACTGTTGATAAATGGTACTTAAAGTATGGAATCTAATAAGGACATTAGTTCTAAAACCATTTTAAAAGAATTTCATTTGAAATTTAATATTTCAAATAGAATTATTTTCATCTGTAAAAGAAGTAGTGGTATTTAAAATTATTATTACGATTTCATTTAAAGAAATAGTATAAAATCAAATTTGAACGATTAATCTCATGAACAAGTAAGCAAGTGCTGAACGTATCCATTATCACAATTTTAACACAGGTAAGCTTCCATAAGATATCTATATAATAGAAAGATTTCACAACTCTTTTTCAGCTATTTGCAGCAATAAATATCGCAGTTTTGAGCACACATACACTTAGTACACAATAAATATTTAGAAGATGTGAAAATATTCTTGCACTTTATCTTTTATTCAAAACAAACACGAGAATAGAGGCTAAACGAGTGAAAGTTCCCGAATTCAGTAATGTTTTTATTACTGAAAAGGGTAATTGTTCCCTTTTATAGTAATACTTCCCCGAAAAAGGAACTGTGCCTAACCTGTCTTATGCTGTTATGTATAGAATAATGCATGAAACTGCCATGTGTACCATACAGAACTGTTTGTTACAAGCCGTATGAAATAGGTGTTATAAAAATTAAGAAGCAGTGATATTATGTCAAATGAAATGTCAATTACGTTCCTTTTCACCATTGTCCTGTAAGGGCATAACTTTGTAAAATCTTATTTGAATCTGACTTTTCATAAAACATTTAATAGGTGTATGGACAATACACAGATGATAGAAAAACAGGGAAGTGTTTAAGACCCAGAAAGTTTGAGATAATTATTGTATGTGGACTGTGGAGAGTGGTCAAAACACAGATGTGTCTACACTTAACAGTGAAAAAAAGGTAAGTAGAAGGGCTGTTTCATTACCTGTTATTGTTTGAATTGCAGTTTCAGATAAGTACAAACTTAAATTTATTTTAGATTGATATATTGTTAGACTGCTTTTACATAATGGAAAGTTGTTGCAGAAGAAGATATTAATTCGTTTAAGAGGATCATTAGTATACCTGGTACCAGAGGACACAGCGGATCCAGGAATAGTAGTACAGAAGGCCACAAACTGCACAGTTATTTTTCAACTACTTTAAAGCACTGTCTACCTTCCACCTGTGTGTGTCCATTGCTGAAGTACTGAAAATCCTCTGGATGATACAGAACCTCCTATTTCTGCTCATTAATTTATGAACAATATTCAGTTATTCAAGCTTTATTTCAACTTTGTGAAAATATCCACAAAACCCCTAGAACTTGGGGGGGGGGGGGATATTCTGCCCAAGAGGTGTAAAAGATAAAATGTTGTGAATTGGATTTTTACATGATGTATGATTCCTACTTGAATCACTTTGAATTGAAATAAACAGGTTTTAAAAAATAAAATATTATCGCTCGCCTCATTTCATTTTACACCGCTTCTCCATTTTAAAATTTCAGCTTTTTAATTTAAAAATTTTCAAATCGCTCGCTCGCCCCATTTTTTTTCTCTCAAAAATCCGAAGACCAAGAAATTAAATTGTTGTGGCCTAAACAGGACAAAAATGTTGAAGGGGTGTGGGTCCAGCCCCAATTAAGTGCCTATTCTATATGTTTAATAAACTAGTTGCACTACATTTGAGTATTCCGGTATGTGGTCAATAAAAATGGATATGGAATATGGTAAAAAAAAATTATCTATTAAATATCAAATATGAGGAGAAAATTCCTGTCATTGTTAGGTTTTAACCGGGATCGAATAAGGTGGTATAGTTTTCTTAGTTTCACCATAATTCTTAAAGGTATGGATCGAGTATTGTATAGTTTAAAAGGCTTTAAGGACAGATGATACAAACAAATTTTTTCTTTGAAAAAGATTTAAAATATCATGTCACAAGTTTAGAAACGTGTTTGGTTCTCAGACTTTTTTCTCCTAAGAACTGGAATATGAAAAAGTCTTATACCAAGCCGGTTGAATTTTATTAGGAAAACCTAAATGGTAAAAATCAGCCTATGTGATGTTGCTAATTTTTTGTCATTTTGAACTTCCTCTTAAAATTCAACTGGCTTGGTATAATTTTTTAAGTTTATATTACACTTTTAACACCAAGATAACATATTCTGAAATTTGTTTTCACCTGTAAAACTTTACTGAATGTGATTTGTCTATATTTGTTTTTTTATTGAAAAATTACTAATATTTTCCAAGTCTATTTGATTTTTCCAGTTCTTCGGAGAAAAAATTCTAAGAACCATCCACTTTTCAAACTTGTGACATGATATCAAATCTTTTTGAAAGAAAAAAATGTTTGTATCATCTGTCCTTAATTTCTGAATTCCATACGACGGTAGCTGTAAATCCAATGTAGACTTCGTTTGATTTTATGTCTCTATATATTAGAGAGTTTTTTCCTAAGAAAATTATCATTAATAATAAACATGATAATCAAGAAGTAACAATATGTAAGTACCGGTTAATATTTGTGAGGGGAACAGTTATGTAGAGATAATTGAATAAATTCAGACCCAAAAGCTTCCATGTGTTGTAATCACCCAGGTAAATACGCTCTAATTGATCTAAAATTAAAATGAAAATAATTATTTAGCAGAAAACTTTGAGAAAAACTATGATTTATTTATATTTCCATTTCTATTTTTTCTCTGTGATAACTCTTTGAAAGTTAGCGGAGTTGATTATTGATAATTCTACCGAAATTTAAATTAGGCAAATCAATAGATCAGGAGCTAAGGAGGCCTAATATGTATGCAAATCTCGTGCGCATCTGTCTCTGTGTCTGAGGCTAAAGAAGCCAAATATGTATGTAAATCGCATGCAGCTGCACGTGTGCTTGACTTCAGTTGGCGAGGACTGTTGAAATTGGCATGGGAGTCCTCATGTAATTTAAATATTTGTCTATATATTATAAGTATAAATCTACAATTTTATTTCATTGTGAAATGGAAATATAAGGAATCACTATCTAGTTAGTATAGTATGCCAGGGAAATCAACGATAGTGGCAAACATGTGATAACTTATGCATAACGAGCTTCGACCGATATGCAAATTATCTCATGTTTCCAACTATCGTTGATGCCCTGGCATACCATACAAACTAGACAGTGATTCCTTAAGCAAATCATTAAGTTCTATGGCAGTATGTCAATTCTGAATTTGTACTTCTGTTATAAAGTATTATTGCCTAATAATATAAGTATACAAGGTCAAAATTTCGGAATATTCTGCAATGGTAACAATGGCAATCCATGAACAATTATCCAAACTCCCAGGGGATGGGATGCACGGATTCTAGTTCAATCTTACATAAGATCTATCTATCGTAAATACTGTGTACATGTATTGTATTGTAAAGGTCGGGGAAAAAAAGGATATGCGCAGGGCTCCGAGTGTCACCGTGCATAACGCGTGGAGATGTACAATAACAATGAACATAAACAAATAAAAGGCATATCCTCAAATATGAATTCAGCATGTAATGTTTCGTGATCTTCACACAGGTCCCACAGAGGTCAATATCAATATAATAAAGCTGTATAATATCTGACGTTGTACATGTAATATCTTGAATACAAAAAGCATTTTAATCGGATTCTTGAAATGAAGATAAATAATGACATATGACTGCGTTCGAACATTTGGACGGAAAGACCCGGTGGCTGTTCACAAGGAAAGAAAATCTTTCGAAACAGACTTTAGACTGGCGGATATAAATTCTACGTTTAAATAACGTCACCCCAAAACGCCAAAATCTATGAATGATTGAGAAAAAAAACATAACAAACAAAAAGAATTGCGAACGATAGTATTGTTCTCCCGCCTACCTCAAAGTCAATTTTCAAAAGTTAACATATTCAAAGAATTTTTGATATTTTTCATAGATAAGTATACAAATTTTCATAAAACATTACTTATTTGGGAAAACAAAGAGAGATAACTCTAAAATTTTGGTAAAACTTGTGTTTTTCACAATAGAAATCAATGGAAAACGGAAAATATTTTATAAACATCTTCCCCCCCCCCCCCCCCCCCCCCCCCGTGTCACAAAAATTCCTTTTTACATGTTATATGGAATGGTATTTCACAAATTCATACCAAATCTTTTTGTGTGACACGGGGGGGAACATATGTTTATTGACAAAAAACGATAAAAATGCTTATTTTCCACCAATTTCGAAGAGATATATAACTGAAACATTATATTTTATTGAAATATTTATGTTTTATTTATTTGCCTAAAACATAAGAAAAGATATAAGGAACATTTAATCATATCCATGACTATTTCAAAATACGGTGTTGTTTGAAACTCGGATTTCAATGGAAAATATCGTCTAACCCCCCCCCCTTTTTCAAGAGCTGGAATTATGGATAATTTACTGTTTAGCGCTGGTATTAAGACGATTTATCAATTACCATTGAACTGTTCTTTGTATCAAACAAAGATTTTATGGCCAATTTGCTATTCATATCAAATTAAATGGTTCCAAAATGTAGGCGGGAATCGAGAGTTAGCGTGCGTGTTTCTTTTAATCACATGAGTATTTACTAATTTAGGTATATTAAAAATTGCAAATATTATGTAGCATGAAGGCTTTTTGTTGATGTTTAGTTTATCTGTTATTCTGAGAGACATATGTAAAATATGTAAAATTACCCTTAAACACTGTGTCCGAATGTTGATTTTGTGTATACGAGGGTTGTCCCACAAAATCGTGGACAAGTTGTCTAGTTTGAAAAATAATCATCACTGCGTTCTGAAATTTTCACCACTTTTTAGTAGATAAATTATGAATATACATAGCAAATTTCAAATAGATATATGCATAGGTAAACAAATTGTGATATTTTATGTTATGTACTGTATCGCCCTACGGCGCACGGATGATAACGTCAAAGTGTCTAAAACAGCGTCACGTTTCATCTTAGCTAAACTTAAAGTTGGATAAGCCCCACTTAAATTTAGAAATTTTATTGATTTACATATGTGAGTATCTATAACCAGTTAAGAAACCAATGTGGCACACTCATGCAATCTTCTGAATATTAATTAGCAAGTTACAGACAGTATTCTCACCATCATTCAACTACGGTCGTCAGTGACAGCGTCCTTTGCTATTACAAATGGCAGTCTGTCCATATGTTTTGCACTATCTGGGGACTCGACCACGAAGACTTCACTAAGAAAACTTTCATTTCATTTATATACTAGAGATCTGGTGATATTTTTCATATTTTTTTTCTTCTGTATTCATTTAAAGTCTCTTAAGGCATCATTACAACATCCTAATCTATCTGAACTGCTCTCCGGTGCGCCGTAACTTCATAAAAAGTCGCCATTTTTCGTGTATTGTGTTTATAACTTTCCCATTTCGAATGCTCGGGAAAATGCCAAAAATTAACCAAATGCCTTGAAATTTTTAAAAAGACGACAGAATTGATTAAGGAATGGAATTAGGATAATTTTCATCCTAATCTTATGTATTGAAAACTTTTATTTCGAATTAATTCTTATGTCTTCTCTAATATAACCTTGCTATTTTTACCGTGCGCCGTAGGACCGTACCTTGTGCACATTCAAGCAGAATAAATTCTTTATTTTTGAATATATATTATCAAAAACATTATGATTCACTTAAATATGATAAATAAACATTTACTGAAAATTTCAGCTTAGTGCGCCCATTACTTTTCGAGAAAAACGCTTTGTCCACGATTTTATGGGACAACCCTCGTACAATGTAATTGTATCTGCTAAAAAATTAAGGAGACGAGAATACAAACTCAAAATATTCCGCTATGTTTTTTTCCGAAATGCAAAGAGGGTGTTGCAGTTCTCTTGTTATTTCCTTTAAATCTGTAGAAGATTTAAAAAGGATTTTTATGTTGCAGAAACTCATATTTAATTTTTTTTTCGAATGCAACAATATAAAAAGCACAACGAGAAACAATATTTGGAAGGTGTGTATTGACTTTAAATTTGCTATTAAATGATGTGAAAATTAGTCTTACGGCAAAATATTTCCATTCTATTTTTTTTCTCTGTGATAACTCTTTGAAAGTAGTCGGAGTTTATTTCTAGACATTTCTGCCGGAATGTAAATAAGGCAGGTCGATAGGTCAGGAGCTAAGGAGGCCTAATACACATGCAAATCTCGTGCGCATCTGTCTCTGTGTCTGACGCAAGTAGGCCAAATATCCATGTAAATCTCGTGCGGCTGCTTTTGTGTTTGACGTCAGTTGGCGAGGACTATTGAAATTGGCATAGAAGTCCTCGTGTGATTTAAGTCTACGTCTACATTTTCAAAGTCTAAATCTACAATTTTATTTCACATTGAAATGGAAATATAAGGAATCACTGTCTAGTTTTGAGAGTATGCCAGGGACATCAACAATGGTGGGAAACATGGGATAATTTTAGTATAACGGACTTGGCCCGTTATGCAAATTATCCCATGTTTCCCACTATTGTTGATGCCCTGGCATACTCTCAAAAGTAGACAGTGATTCCTTAAATATATCAGATTTTCAATTTTTAAATAGGGAATCCCCATTGTTCTGTAAAAGTGCCTTGTTGACACAAAATAATTTTGATATATACTCAAACAGGCAGGAATTTTCTTCAAAACTGCTATTTCCGATTTTTGTTTCAAGGAGGCACATTTTTAAAAAACGCATAAATTAAATAAAAATTGTTCTCCAAAGGAAATGCAAAAGAGACTTATGTGACTTAAAACTAATGCTTTGGTTAGTTTTGTCTTGGAACAAAATAAATGACTGTATTAATTAAATCATTTCTTTCTTTACATACTGTGGTTATTGCAATTTTGGTCTCTCAGTTAGTAGCCAAGATTTGATTTGAAACAAATAAAATATCTTGGTTGTAGCACTAACAGTGTGATTATGGCACGCAGTTTTATTTTTTTTTCAAAATGCTGCTTTAGCCATTATGCTTCACAAGACGAAAGACCACCTTTAAGCAATCGCTTAATGGTAGCTTAATGGTGACTTAATGGTGCTTAAAGAAGTTCACTCCATTAAGCCATCATTAAGCTGCAACTTACAGGTGCTTAATGTCCAAACTTCATTAAGCTACCATTAAGCCACCTTTAAGCCGAGCTTAATGGTGACTTAATGGTCAAACCTCATTAAACTTATAATACGCATTTTATATCGAATCTTTGATCTAACACTTTAAGTTATTTCAATGTTATTTACGCAAAATCTATTTTTTTGTGATCTATAATTCTGTTTCGATCGTCATTTTTATATAATATTTCTGTCTACATGCAAAATCTCTGAGAATAAAGTTAGCTAACAGGCTTTGGTCCCGGTTTCTAATATTTTTTTAAAATTATTTACAGTATCAATAAAAAAGGCGTTTTATCCCATTACCGCATGTGATTTTTTTTAAATAAATAATTATTACATACGTTGTTACAGATTTTGCATGTTGACAGAAATATTATATAAAAATGACGATCGAGACAAAATTATAGATCACAAAAAAAATAGATTTTACGTAAATAACATTGAAATAACTTAAAAAGTTAGATCAAAGATTCGATTTAAAATGCGTATAAGTTTAATGAGATTTGACCATTAAGTCACCATTAAGCTCGGCTTAAAGGTGGCTTAATGGTAGCTTAATGAAGTTTGGACTTTAAGCACCTGTAAGTTGCAGCTTAATGGTGGCTTAATGGTGGCTTAATGGAAGTTAACTTCTTTTAGCACCATTAAGTCACCATTAAGCTATCATTAAGCGATTGCTCAAAGGTGGTCTTTCGTCTTGTGCGATTTATAGGTACATGTAATAATCGTGAGTTTCTGCAACACTCTCTTTCTCTAAAAACCCGTCAAACGTAGAATTAACTTTGGGCTGCCTAATATGTCATCTTTTATTTTAAAAAAAAACTTTCTTTAGTCTATCTGCCTGATTTCACAAACTCATTTATGAAACACAAGTAATATAATTTTGTACAAGTTCCCCTCGAAATATATTTAAAAACACATTTACAAGAAGTGTATGTGAAACACTAATGCTCATGTATGGCAGCTTATGGCGAAGTTTCTCAATGCAAGTCAAACTCCCAAGGTCAAGGTTAAAAGGTAATAATTATTGGTTTCCAAAGTAATGTTTTGTCACCAGAAATACAGCTGTACAACTGTTAAATATGAAAGCGCTAGTGGGTATTACCTTAACTTTAAAAGTTATGGCCTTTGTTAAAGTTTTCAAAATAGAGTCAAACAGTCAGGTCAAGGTTAAAAGTCCTAAAAAATGCACCCTCTGTGAAAGATTTTATCACAATGAACGTATAAAGTATGAATTTTTAGGGGGGGGGGGGGGGTGTTGAAAAAGTGAAAGTAAAAAACTATTTCAATTAACATAAAATTGATGTTAATTTTTACGTAAATTTGATGTTCATTTTGTATTGAATAAACGTTAAAATGGTTTACATTAAACAACGTTTAGATTAGAAGCATTTGTAGCGTTATTTTGAAGATATTTGATTAAAATTATTTTTGATTGAATTGGTTACCCATTACGCAATTAGATATATTCAAATTCCTGTATAAGCTCGATTAACATTCATTTATCGTTACATGTAATTATTTTACGTAAATAATATTTTCATTTTAAATTAATGTTGGCAAAATTAGCAGTATAGAACTTTGCCCTAACATACATATGTAACACTTCTTATTTAGGGGTCATGAAATGCACGATTTTGGAACAGACACATTTCGACAGCACAACTGTGAATTACGTTTGTTTGTTTTATACTCCGGAGCAGAGAAAATGTTTTCAAAAAAATAATGCATCTTTTCTTTATTATTTATACGGTTCTAATCTAGCAGGAGAACCACTGGCCCAGGGACTGTGAATTTTGAAAGTTTGGTAGAACACTCAATGCTTATATATTACAGTCATGTTAACAGTTTTACGGCTTGACATTCAGAAGTAAAGAGGATTACATTCTATTTAGTAGATTTTCATCACCCCACAGCTAGGGCTCCCGCGGAGTCAGTGACCATGAAAATTTTTTTTTGGTCCTCTTCACGCATAGTTGCTATAATAGATGCTATCATGATATGCCCAATTGGTTGAAATTGATTGGCCTTTTTCAGGGATGATTGATTGAATGTTTGTATATTATTTCACGTCCCTCTCGGGATTTTTTCATTCATATGAAGACGCCACCACTTGTTGGTGGAAAACTGCAATTTTTGTTCTATACTCAAGACTCAGTGCCCAAGAGCAGGAAGGGATCTTTTTCGTGACAGCACTTACTACGACACGGGGCATCAGTTTATACGGTCTCATCCGAAGAACTGCGCAGCATTGTTAAGGCTTGAATAAGGGGGCGGGGCCTTATTTATACGGGAAAAGTTTACTGTGACGTCACACAAAAATATTACTTTTATGTATTTCTCATTATACCTGACAATGAAATAGTTTGCAACTTTTAACTGTATAAGCATAATAAGCAACAATAAAATTTATCTATGCATTTAAAAAACTTGCTAGTTAAATCCTATGTAGCTGGTTATAGACAAAGCACTGATCGCGATGAACTTGTAAACATGACGTCATTTTGGTAAAAATGACGTATTTCATGTGCTGTGAGAGGCAGATTGAGGAATTTTTTAACAATGAAAAATGCGTTTTATTATTTAACGAAACATAATTTACAGGTTTTAAATAGTCGATTGATACCAATACATATCCTTTGTTTAGTGCAATTATTACTTAACTATTTAAAATACAATGTATTTTATTAATAATATCGTGTTTTTATGTACAGTTTACGTATATTTTACATCGAGATGCCTCATAAAATCGCCATTTTGCAAGGGCATACACTTCATAGATCTTAATCATCTTTTGAATATAGATAAAGGATATTTTTCTTAACTTGAAAAGTGCTGCTGCTTTCTTTAAATCGAGGGCGTGATTTTATAAGTACACAAAATATTTGGTAAAAGTCAAACATATTTCGACATTGGCTTATTTACCTGAAAATTTAACTATTAAAACGCGACATCTATTCAACGCAGCAGCACTTTTCAGAAACTACAAAGTATGTAGAAACAATTAATAGCTTGATTTTTTTATTTTCAACTAGGGTGAGCCCTTGTGATACTGATATTTGTTCATGACCTACATTTAGTACACGAACTATATGCATTCATCACGTGACTGTCCATCGATGGGACCAAACTTCATACAGCACAAAGTGGGTTATACTATGCTATTTCAATAAGTATTTGTGTTCTGTGATATTTAAACAACTTAATAAAAATAAATTCAGTTTTAAAAAGGTCCCCCTTTTTTGCAGGTCTATTTTCCGTTGATTTCTCATCGTAGGCCTTAACAGTGCTGCGTGGTCTCCATGTCCCACCGTGGAATTCGAACCCGCGACGTAAGTACCAACTCCTTACTTCGCGACTCTAGAGAAGATGCTTTAATCACTGCACTAGGCGGGCGACCTTTCAGGGAAGTGTTCAAATGTTAAAACACATCGCACTACACACGATGCAAGACGGCGAATGAAAACAGATAGGAATAGGTAACCTGAGATAAATCTAAAACAGCCTATAATTCTTACAATTATTAAATGAAGAAAATTTCACACCTTTTCTTATAATTATCATAATTATACCTTTAATGTAGGAAAACATGGTGCAGAAGATTTGTTGCTCGAAGAATCCTCATTTACGCGGCTTAGTTATGTAATGATCTTGATTTCATTCAAAATAGTAATCAATTGTTATTAAAAAAAACATCCCAAATCAATACAGTGAGCTTTATCAAATATTATTCCCCGACTTTTGTGTTGAGAGAGAGACTGGTATAATTACAAATAGGTGTTTCTCTTTGTTCAGGAACATTGCATATTTCATTTTTTGTTGCACTTCTTCAGTTCTTGTGTATTGTTGGTATTATTATCATTTTCCTCTAGTGAGATCCCTTAAAACATAAGAGTGTTTTATTCTATTCAATTCAGCTCAAAAACAGGAATTACAGAATAAAATTCAGGAAAGGAATTACCTGGGAACGTTTCATCCACCTTTTCTTCCAACAACTCTTTAGCTTCATCTTAAACAAAAAAATACAATTAAGAAGACGAAAAAACAAATTAATAGATCGCCTGAAATTAAGAAGAATTTAATGATACAGTATCAAAAATACAAAATATACGGACCATCTTGAAAATGAATAAGAGGTTCATGTCTCCCATTTTTCTGACTTTTCAGTCTTTAAAAATTTTGAAAAGGGCAATAACTCCTTCTAAGGTTTCAAGCATTTTTATCATACATGTAGTACTTCTAATGTAAAAAAAAAATTAAAATATTCATAACTCATAAGTCTGTTATAAGTAGCAAGTATTTCAGAACTTTCAGCATCATAATTATGCTTTTGAGCCTGTTGTTATATACTTTATAATATTGTTCATAAAAATGTACACTTTTGTATGTTGACATACATCTAGTTATTTGTGTTTCCGACCTTAAATAATATGACATCTTATGCATTTCTAGCAACAATTAGTATATCTAAACTTCAATGCACGAAAATGTAGTTTTTGTAATTTGAACCTAAGAATTGGGAGGATAAAGAGATCTTAATTCAATAAGTCTTATGTAACCTAATTCCCTTTTTTTCAGAGAGAGAGAGAGAGAGAGAGAGAGAGAGAGAGAGAGAGAGAGAGAGAGTTTAATGAAAATTATACCTCTGGTATCATCTTCATGAAAAGACGGCTCTATTTGTCTTGGAACATTGTAACGATTTTCCTTTGGTGTTCTGGCCTTATCTTGAAAAAAGTGATACTCAATGTAACATAAAAACCTTTATTACATTCAGATCAAAAACAGGTAACACAGAATAAAATTTCCAAAATAAGCAACCTAGAGTTCCATCCACCTTTGCTAGCAACAACTCTTTACCTTCAACTTTAAATAAATGAAGAAAACAGTGGAATGAAATTTAGAAGAATGACAAAGTATGAAAATATAAAATATACCATCTATTTTTACATATTGAATACTATTCTGTAAAACGTACATACTTGAGATAAGTTCTTTTGTATCGTTTTTCTGACTCTTTTTTCTTCTCCAAAGAACGACAGCTAATATTAGAATAACAACTAGTATGAAGAGGAAGGCAACTAGACCGCCCACAATCTCTGCTACATGAGATGTTTCTGGAGGGGGTATTGTTGGTTGCACGTCCAGTGCGCTGTTGCTTGAAGTAGTGTTTAATGTGCTATAAATAATAAGGCAAATCAAGCTTATGTATACAAAGGAAAAAATGGAGGCGAACAGGCCTTCTGGATTACCTTACCATAATATAACCAATACAAACTGGTAATGGGTCCAAAGAATGGTAATATTTATATTATATCTCTACAATAAAAATAATTTAAGAAACCTCTCTACACTGCACACTAAAGAGTTCTGATTCTAAGGTATTTTTCTGCAGTTAGAGTGATCTGTCCTTAGATATAAATTCTGAAAAATATACATTTACAATGTATTACTCAATTTTTAATTAATTCAAGTATTCTTGGTATTTTAAAAGGCCAAGACAAATTAACTGAATGTGTTATTCACATGTATTTTCTCTATTGAAGTAATTAACTGTGATTTCTATTCACCGATACTGTGTTGTCTTTGAACATTTTTCCTAGGGGTAAATGCCACGCACCATACAGTGAAAATTAGATAAATAAGCTCAATATTAACTCCTTTATACAATATATTTTTCTCAATGTCCAAAAATAATTTTGCACTGGTGTATATAGAGAGGGTCCTTAAAAGAATCTAGAAAAGAACTTCAATCCAAGTACAAATTAGAATAAGCAAATTAAGCACACTTGCTAGTCTGTCCTACTCAGATATTTGCATATATTAATTGATCACGAGTAAAACATAAGCATTAACAAAAATTGAGCTCGTGCTAATGTTTTCATATCCATCTATAGTACAGTTATAAATCACGTACTTAATTTGCAAAACATATTTACAATTTTCCTGAAAGTATAATATATTTAAATGAAATAAATTTAGAAAAATATAAATAAAAATTGTATAAAAATGGCAATACAAAAGTTCTAGGACTCTTTTAAAAAGCGAAAAATTATCTATCCAAATTATGCCTCTCTCTTCAAGTACACAAAGGGAACATATCGGGATCGCAATGCCCAGTTCTCTGTCTTTCCTTTTCAATATTCCATGTTGTTTTCTCTTAAACATTTTAAGTTACCTAAATTCAAAGTTCCAGTGAGCTTTTCTGATCACATTTTGTCCATCTGTTCCCTTCAATTGTCCGTCTGTAAGATTTTTAACATTTTACACTTTTTCAGATCTACGACTGGGCCAATTTCAACCAAACGTACTGCAAATTAAACATTCCTTTAGTAAGGGATTTCGACTTTATTCAAAGTACCAATTCCTCATTCAAGGGAAGATAATGAAGAAATAGTGAAAAAAATATGTTATCCTTCAAAAATCACTGAACCACGTGGCCAAAAGATTTTTAAAATCTATATGAAATATGCTATATATACCTTAGTATAGATTCACATTTGTTCAGAACATGGATTCCGATGTTGTTTGGGGCAATTATATGGGATCAACATTTAAGACATGAAATTTTAGAAAATAATTTTAAGAAAACGTCCAGAACATGTCAATTATTGATTTATTATTAAGGAAACATTCTCCAATAGCTTAGATTCTAGGTTTTATAAATAACTCCCGGGAGTAGGGTCATAATGGGGATAAACTTTTTTTTACGTAGGAATGGATTGGGGAAAAATACTTTAAAATATGCATAGGAATGTTTTGTCATAGACAATTAACTTCGAAGCATCCTCAGTTAGTTCTGATCTTTATTTCTTCAAATAATGATCCTGAAGAATTTAAAGGGGTCATAATACAGGATCATTTTTTTACATTGAAATATATCGGGGAACATATTTCAAATATTCTCATGAACGACATAGCTGAGTTCAGTCATATTGACAAGAAAGCACCGTCAGGTAGTGTAGATTTAATTTCAATACAGTGAAACCTGTCTAATATTTTGTCCCAAATATTTAAAAATAGAAATATTTCAAAGCACAGAACCAACAAGACACAGCCCAGAACTATAGAAGTGAAAGTGACCTGTCTTTCTGATGATCGAGATCTTCTATCGCAGAAAGCATTTTCACGGTAAAGAATCATTAATAGCTAATTACACTAGTTGTTAGTATAGGTCTAGATTCAAAGTCCTTCACCGCGATGAGGTGACCTCTCTTTATGATTAAAAAAATAATCAAAATTGTTACAAAATCAAGATTGAATCAATCTATCTATCAGTACAAATTTTCTTCTCAAAATCTGCATGTTGGTTGAGCATCTATTTCATCTGTACGTATAAAAGTTAATTGATATTCTCTGTGAGGATAAAATGTATGTAGAAAGCAAACAGTAATCAAGATCAAAAATCCATAAAACAATATAAAATAGAACCAGAGCAAACATTGACCTCAAAAACATTAGAGGCAGATACTAAAAAGGAGTGCGCATCTCAGTTAGAAGTGAGATCCCTCTATTTAATTTATGAACGCTTCCTACTGAAGCTACAATTGAACATCCAGATAACAATCTCTAGGACTGCTCTGAGTCAGCTTTCTTTCAAGTTAAGTCTTCTTTGTAGGGAACCACGGTATTAATGAAAGTTAAGTATAATGTAATATAGAAATCCAAAGTTAATTAGGTTTTTCCAGATATAATGAAAACGTAGATTAATAAAAAAAAAAAACAATTTAAAATATTACATTCTTGTTTACTTACATATTAGGACATGATGATTCAGCTAGATAGCAATTGTGCCGTGAATTGATGTTTTGACATGCAGAATCTAAATGATAATGAATCCTTTAATGAAAAAATTCTATTTCATAATTAAAACTCAATACAAACAATAGTGTGGCGATTTTAATTTGAACATTTTTATATTAATTATGATTTATTTCAAATATCTTACATTGGTATATTTCATTGCTTCGATATTCCTTTTCAGGACAACCTGATAAAAATCCAAGGCAGTTGTTCCAGTGAAGATTTTCTCCATCGGTTTCCAAACAGTTGCCTAATCAAGTATATTGTTATGCATACACGTAAGAAATAAAATATATTCTAGTGTATGTCAAAGAATACTTTCTAAGATGCTTCGATTTTCGTTGGTTTTCGTTTGAAACTTAAACCATAGAAATGTGTTTTAGGTTAAATTTCTTATTCCTCACCTCTTTTTATTAATCCCATGGTTCCATTGTAACACAGTTCTATAAGCCCTGTTTTGTCCGTGTTAGGGATACAGAGATACTGATCGTTCCCGTACTTATCCTGACCACATCCCAGCCTGGAGGACGACTCTAAAACATCCGTGATGTTCTGGGGACAGGAATCCACATATATTTCCATTTCTCCTGGAAAAATATTGAAACTTGTTATAAGAAAATAAATAAAAGCCCCTACAATATTATACTGTTGTCACTTAGCTAAAAGTGAGAAACCATTTCCTATATTTATATTATTGTATCAAATGATTGTATCTTTTTGAAACATTGTAAAATATAGATATATCTTTGAAGCCAGATGGTAGATTCAATGGGAAGGAGCGAGAGGTGGATGTGAAGTTGGGTTTAATACTATCCTCAAGCACCGGTGTCTCGGCCAAATATAAAATGGCTTCGATGTTTTTTTTTTTTTTATTTTGTAAATTGTATGTTAGAGGCATGTTATACAAAAATTATAAAATGAAAACATGTTCCACTCGTTTAATCGTGTAAGTTTAAGGCCAACTTAATTGAACATAAAACGAAAGTAGAAATAATATTAATGTAGAAGATTTAGATATGTAGTTTAATATAATATATAAGTAATATACTTTATTAAGTAAAAATTACCTTACAAAATCATCATTCTGCCACTAGACCAAAGATATAGCCTTTCATAGTTCCACATAAGATGAGTTTTTCCTTCCCTTGCGGTTCAAATTAAATGTGTCTGAGGTAGCCTTCACCTGGTTATAATTATCCGGGTTACCTATGTTTATATATAGCGCAGTAACCTGAAACGTAGAATGTGTTTTAATCCATGTTGCTGTATTTTACCATTGTTCTCCTGACAAAAAAAAAGTTCTGTAAATAAATTGAGCTCAAAATGCTTTGCTAGATTCTGTATCGAAATGGAAGTGAAACAACAAATCTTGCTGATTATTAATTATTATTATTAATACTATTGAAAATTATAAGAGCATTTTGTCATCCTGATTTCAAATAAATAACCTATGGTACTTTGCAATGACGGAATAAAAAGCTTAGAAATAATTATGATTGCCCCGCACCATCTCTTTTTTACCGTAATAATCCTGCTAACGTATTGAGCTGACATTAAAACTTTTTTATCTACCAAATCGAAGAGTAAAAAAAAATCACTTTTTTCAGTAATTGTTCTCTACTTGTTAATTTTATAAATAAGGAAGTTATTTAGGATATAATATTTTATTATTTTTTTCCTAAACGTTATTTTCATCTGTGAAACAATACATTAAAAATGTGATATACATTTTGTAAATCAGATATGGATACTTAAAAATTCCAAGGAACTTTTGGACAATTTGAAATCGTAAGATTTTACCAAAATCGACAAATAAAAAACTTAAGATTTTCAACTTTATTAAACAAACATTCCGCACTATAAATTAAAGCCCAGATATAAATGGCAGCTGCTGATTACAACAACCATGGACTCCAGTCTGGCTTTTGTGGAGGGGTAACATGGTCAGGACAGTGGTCAGTTTGGCCGTGACAGGCTGGTACTTCTTCATGGTGTTCTATAAATAGAAACAGAGCATGTCGAATTTAACATGTTATCTAGTCTAATATCCTAGTCTAATATCCTTGAATTTTCAGATTGTTCAAAATAAAGCAACAATAATAATAAAATATACGTTTCATTTTCCAGAAAGAACATTTCGAAGGGCATACTATATTTAACTGAAATTCAATGTTCTCTAGACTGATTTTATCCAGGGATGGGGTCAATTACTTTAAAAAGTAATTAATTAAATTACAATTACTTTAACTTTTTCTTCAATTAAATTACAATTAAATTACAGGCTTTCTAAGACATGTAATTAATTAAATTACAATTACTTTGCAAAAGTAATTAATTAAATTACAAATTACATTTTAATTTTTTTGATTTTTTTCCAATCCTTGTCATTGAATATACAGAACTACATTCATTTGTATATAAGCTCAGCCTCTGCTCAAACAATACAAGAAATGATATGATGTACGCATTGTGTACACTTCTTTGTGGTTTGAATTAAAACTTTAATTTAAAAGAAGAACTATCCGAGTCTTATGCAGTTTCTTCCACGCAATATTAACATGTACACAAATTGCATCCCTAATGGCTTATAATATTCTATTAAAAGGAGGTATCTTAAAGTGTAAAATGAAGCACAACTGTAACCCCTCAAATTTAATATTTCTGAACCTAAACATTTTAATTAAATTGTTATTTATGTTGAACATTTTTACTTCATAGATGATTGTACAGAACATAATTTTCTCAGATACAAAATTTATTTATATAAAAATCTTTTTAGATGTTAAAATAATTATCAAATTAAAAGTTTTTCTTTTCTTAAGTGAGCAGAGCATTATGATTGAAATAATTATCTCCATTGGCTTTGTTTTCTGAATCATGGAATGAATACCTCCTTAGAGGAGTTGACTTGTTTTGATTGCAATTTATGGCTGTGATTTGGAGGGTAATTATTTCTTCACGAGAGGGAATTAACTTAATTATGACACATACATTATTTTGCTTTATTATTGATCAAACAAGAAAAATTGAAATATAATAAATGTGTGTTTCATAAGGAATAGACCCACGAAGGCTTGTGCAAAATTTAGATAAACCTATACCAAAAAAAATTATATACTTATTAGAAAGACACTAGATAATTATTATCAAATCAATCATTTAGTTGCTTGTAAACATTGTCTAAAAATTTTTATAATTGGAGGACTGAGGATATGTTTTACAATTAAATAAAAGACAGTAAAATTGGGAGGTAGTGGTGACAATGTATCATGAATGTGCACTGTATAAAGTAATTGAATGTAATTGAAAAAGTAATTGAAATTACATGGTATTTTTTCAGTGTAATTAATTAAATTACAATTACAAGTAATTGAAAAAATGTTCAATTACAAATTACTTCCAATTACTTTTAAAAAGGTAAATAATTACAGTCAATTGCAAAATTATTACTTTTTTCCAATTACCCCATTCCTGATTTTATACCTTGGACATCAATTCTCATAATATTTACATCCACTGAATATTTTCCCTTTTATTTCTTAAGAAAACCCATTGCGTTAATCACTGCATGAACTACAGTAGGCATGTCACCTGTACAGATTTCTTGATCAGTGGCTGTTCCATCAGTGGAACGTATAAAGACGTTCGCATCATTAGTTCAATAATTAATTTTTTTAACCCTACGTAAAATGATTATTTAAAAAAATATAAATATAAACAATAAAATTTCTTTCTTTCTTTGTTATTACTGACGCGGGTTATGTATTTTTTCTGCAACAGCTGCTTCCATTAATTCCAGTAATAACAAAATAACAATAACAAAAATAAAAAAAACATTTCTTTAATAAAATAAAATCAATTTTTTTGACTTTCATATATATGTACAAAAAATCCATTTTATACGTGATATTAACCAGGGTGGTCCAAGTCAAGACAGTCAAGGGCCATCAAAGTGACAGGTATTCAGTGTGTCAATATTTATTTATTCTGATACACCTCTGATACTGATATCTCTAACCAGAAAGTAAATTACAAGCCGAATTTTAAAACTATTTACTGTTACGCCTCTCTCTCTCTCTCTCTGACGATCTAAAGGCTGTTTGACAAGGGCATGTTTATATGTCATTATAGTTATTGTAAGTATTTAATAACATATGTTGGTGCCTTTTTTTTCTCTTTTTACCATTCATGTACAATAAATTAATTTAAATAAAACTTAATATACAAATTAATTTAAAAAAGTAATAATTGCATGTCCAGTTACTTATGGAATGGGAAACATTCATAGACTGTTAAATCTAGCTTTTTTTTTTTACAAATCAATACTTTATATTACGTGTATTCATTTAAGTGGCCAATCAGACAAGTTTGCTACTAGATGTTTGGCAATTAAACTTCTAACACTTTTTAATACTAAACAATCTATTTTTAATACTTTGCAAGTGACATTTTCTGAGATGTCAAGTACCGGGGTATGGCTTTTCTGTACAATTGAGTACATTAAAACTTTGTTATTTTCAGATGGCTTTATCTAAAACTGGTATTCCTCCCATAGCCCAACACTTTTTAGAGTGTGGCACTGAAGAATTTGAAAGAAACTGTGAGTTCTACTGCAATCCTTGTCATCAAAGATTCTGTAAACAATGCAGAGATGAACATCTGAAAATCCAGAGAACAAGAACCATATGCATGAGCTGGTTCTTTACCAGCTTCGTAAACGACAACTTCCTGTATTTTTTCCTTATATCATACGATTTCTGAAGGAAATTAAGGAAGATGCAGTTGAAATTAAACACATCATGGACAATATCAGAACATCCATGAAAACTGAAGGTGACTCCTTGAAAAATCTGGTGGACACAGTCATGTCTGAGAACATGAAGCAGCTAGACCAGATAGAGCAATCTCTTTTAGAAAATCTAAATACCCAAGACAAGACCACGGATGACTACATCGCTTATCTTAATAACCTTGTCAAAGAGCTCCACAGATGCCTGTCTTCTACAGAACCTCAGAAATTAAAATATGAGAAGCCAAAGATCCTCTCCATACCTGAGACAACGAAACCAGTCAAACCAAGATTTACTGCTGGTCAATACAGTAAAGATGATATCACTAATTACTTGGTAAAATACATATACCCAACACTAAGGATGAAAAGAGAGAAATAAGGCCCATTAAAAGTGTCTACAATACATCAATAAAATCTACACATAAACAGTTGAAAGAAGACAGAAAGAAATCTGACAAAAAACAAACATTGTCTCTTTCTTCCTCTGTCACCAAGGTCAGGAAGTTCAATGTACCAAGTGTTGATCATGTTTACCATGTATCACTAGCTCAATCAGACAGACTCTGGATCAGTGACAATAAGGGTACTCTTATTCAAATAGATCTACAGGGAAATGAGATTCAGAAAATAAAAACCAGTGGTGGAGTGCAAGGTTATCACACAGTGATTAAGGACGGGGATCTGATATTTACAGATAGAAAATTGAAAGTCATCAATAGGATAAAACAGGACAATAATATCACTGAATTCATTGAAACTGGAAATAGGGAACCACTCAGCATACACACCTCTCGCATCAACGGAGATTTCCTGTTGGGGATGGCTGGTAAAGTCGCCAGGTACAACAAGACAGGAACAGAACTACAGAACATACAGAGGGATAACGATGGACAGGGGCTGTATATTTCACTGTATATTTCACCATACTACATTTCAGAAAACATCAATGGGGATATCTGTACATCGGACTACTATAATTGAGTAGTGGTGGTGAGTAAATCAGGACAACACAGATTCTCCTACACGGGTCAGAAGTCAGAGTTCTGTCCCTATGGAATCTGTACTGATGTCCTCGGTCACATCCTGGTTTGTGATACTGAAAGTAAATCTGTTCACCTCCTTGATCAGGACGGTCGGTTTTTGTCTCTATTACTCACACAACAACAAGGAGTGAGGTATCCCAGAAGTGTGTGTGTGGATGACGAGAACAATTATGTCTATGTTGGACAATACTACAGCAGAAAACTGACAGTGTAAAAGTATCTAATGTGATACTTATTCTGTCATAAAATAGTATGATTTTTTGTAGTATGTCTATCAAACTTTAAATTTCTCAAATACCAAATTCCTAATGACCCTACTTACATCTTTATCAATGTTATCAAAGTCGTGCTACTAAAGTACTAGAATATATATTATAATGACGCTGAAACAAAATCATCGTTGCTAAAAATTCTACAAGACTTGAATTGTTTTAAAATAAAACAGTCTTGCAAATTCACCCTTCTTGACATAGATATTTTGTATGTCAAGAGAAATACCTTTTGTTTCAAGTGCTATATCTATATCAATTTAGCCGGGAAAGTACATGATGTGTAAAACAAAAGAGAAACAAGAAACTAAAAAAACAATGGAATGGGATGTCAGATTCATCATTAAATTACCTAATGACCTTAAAATGTCAACAAAGGGGAACAACTTTTAATTTAATTTGTTGGATAATAGATTCAGTCCGCACAACTATTTGACTCGCACACAAAAAATAAAATGTTGACACATTTAACTAATACGTTCCATACTAATATTTGAATGAAATGCTTATGCATTTTTTCGCTAAGAATAATAATGTTGTCATCAACTAATACTAATCAACCACTTCCTAGTTTTATCAAAGAACTTGAGCGCAGTATGTGAGTACACAGGAAAATCAAATTTTACTTGCTATTGTGCAGCAAAAAGATTTAAAGATTCTTAGAAAAAGTTTGATGTACCCTTCTCAGTGTGATCCATTAGGGGGCCAAATGAACGGGGACCAAAAAAACATATAGCAAACGTTACTTCTAGTTTTGTAAAAATTCTGTTCAGGAAAGTTCAAAGCAAGAAAATTTAAATCAAAATACTATATAGCTAGTTCATTCATGTAATTCCTTGCATGAAAATTAATCCGAATATCTTATTTCAGAACAAAATTATTAAAAAGAGACATTATTAAATGTTTTGTTCTTTGTGATTTAATCTCGTTCAACCAGAGGCTCGGCTGTCTCCGTGAACTCCGACCAGCAGAGAGTCTGGTAAAGAATCACGTAAGCGTTTGTAACCGTCAGAGGGCGCTAACTTGTTTTCATTTTAAAAATCCTTTTTTGTAAGCAAATGTTATATATGTTTCTTCTGCTTGATTGTTACTTTATATTAATAAACTGGTTTTTAATTAGGGATACCAAACGAGAAATTACAATATCAATCGAAAGGATGTGTATTACACAGGTAAGACTACACTACTTTCACTTTTACTTTCGTACAGAATATTTGCAAGACAAAATAAAACACGCTTACCTATAACTGGTGGGCATTACCTTAAACAATTCCTCTCTAACGGTTTTAACTTTTAGACACATAAATTTTACATCTTTAAGTTATTTTTCTGCTGATTTATCATGTATTTGTTTTAATCTTGTAGGTGTGTTCTTTTCAGCCAATCAAAAACTTTACCAGAATTTCGGTAAGCCTCGCTTTGGCGTTACAATCGATATCACGTATCTTTACCAGACCCTCTGGGTGGTCGGAGATTTACGGAGACAGCCGAGGGTCTGGTTGAACGAGACTATTTGTGATTAAGTTATACTTCCTGTAATATTATAGGTGAAAATTTTGTCACTGTTTTAATAGCTTTCTTTACTACATGAACATAACAAGTTATAAATATAAACATTTATTTATATCATTTAATTTTATGTTGATCAGGTTTCATCGTCTCAAGCCACGGTTCGGAGTACGCATATAGCTTTTTCCTACCTGGCTGTTTGATCACAAAAAGTGTCGTAATCTTGAATATTTACGCCTCACTATTGTGACGTCATATTCAGTCAATGGCAAGTTTTGTTTCCATCGCAATCGAAATCAACAACTGACATCAACAGTATACAAGAAATATATCCTTTACTGCGATTGGATATTGAAAGGTCGCGACAGAGTTCATCTTCCGACTATGCTTTACTCGCATTGGTTAAAATTTTAATGAGCTACGAAGAATTCTCTCCTCGTTCAACCAGGGCCAGAATGGAAGAGGATCGTACATTTTGGCCGTGGTTTGCAAAGATGATCAGGTTTATATCATATACCTAGTAGTGTATCAGCCCTGATACAGGCGTTTTGGACTTGGCGAGACAGCGCCTCGGAAGTAGGGCTGTCTCGCCCTCAGGGCTGAGATATCTCTGTCTCGGCCCGTCGTCAAGGGGCTGTCTCGCCCTCAAATTTCAAATCATTATATCTGTTTAATTAGTGTGAATTAAGAGTAAAATCCATACTTAAGTATTAAAGAGAAACATTATATATCGAAAAATTTAACCAGAATCTTTAAAAAGTATTTTTTTCATATTAGAATTTTGAGAAATAAAAAGTGTGCCAAATGATTGCATTTGTGACGTAAGAGAGGTAACTCTTGTTTCCTTCTAGGACAGCAACAACAAGTCATGTTTTGAAACAATGGACGTTTATTTGCTTTGACAGTAAGACAATACCAAGTTTTCAACTAATTATTTGAGTTTTAGATGCATGTGGAAAAAAAAGAGTCATTTCCCTTTAATTTTAGAAGAGATTTAATCATGATATTGATTTATTTAAATGAATCGATTTTATGCTAATAGAATAATTTGTGATAGACTACACCTATATTATTGTTATGAGATATTTATAATGTTAACATGTTTTGTACATGTTGTAAGGGTGATGAACCTGATCCATTTACATGCATATCTCTCACGTGCATTAAAAAACCTGTAACACAACAAACTTTTATATACCAGAGAAAAACCCGGTTACACAATAATACCGGTGAACTTATAGCTATAGCTGTAGGTGATTACAAGGATTATGGGTTCACATTCAGTAAATTATCGATCGATTATGGTAGCATATTTATGAACATCTGGCAAATAGTGGCAGAAATATGCCACCATAGACGATGACCATGTTCAAAATATATTTGAGCTAAACATTGCTAAAAATAGCTCATGGAATTTCCAACTTTAAATTGATGTTAAAGTTCTTATATAGTTCTTAAAATAGAACTTGGAATAGGCTAACAATTGTTCATAAACATCTCTATAGCAATCGTGTCAAGGCTTATTGGGTGTATACTTACCAGTGTAAACAAACATGGCTGGCACGGATTGATATGGTGAACGACACATTCAACAGAGAATCTTCGGATGGTTAAAGGTGAGGTATGATTCTTGTGAATGTGATATATTGTCTTATTTGTATGACTTTGAATCTGTATCCAAATATCAAAAATAGATGTATATACTACACTAAGTAAATATAATAATGAAAATTTAAAAAAAAAAATGATTACTGAGTACTGATAAATAGAGAATGATTTTATGGAAGATTTTATATAATGAGGTAGCCTATACATGTAATTTTTATGCCCCCGTAAACGAAGTTTCGGGGGTTTATAGTTTTTGTCGTGTCCGTCTGTCTGTCTGTCTCTCTGATTGTCTGTTTGTTGCGCATAACTTTTGATTTAGGGGAGGTATGACTTTCATATTTCATATGTGTATTTCTTGTGACAAGACCTTTCTTTGGGTACCACTAAATTTGACCTTTTGACCTTGACCTTGGAGTTTGACCCACTTTTACATGAAAATTTTAAAATTTTACTTTGGCCATATCTT